AACTGTTAGTAGTAGTATCCGCCATCCCGTTGCAGTGAAGTTCGTCAAAATGACAGTGAAGAAGAACACCGCCTCACCGCTATATGGCGGTAAGACACTGCCTCACCACTAGATGGCAGTAAGGAACAGCGCCGCCTCTCACCACTGGATGGCAGTAAGGAACAACACTGCCTTCACCACTAGATGGCAGTGCCGCCTCACCACTAGATGACAGTAAGGAACAATACTGCCTTTCACCACTAGAAGCAGTAAGGAACAACGCCGACTCTCACCACTAGATGACAGTATGGAACATTCTCACCACTAGATGGCAGGGGAACAACGCTGCCTCTCACCACTAGATGGCTGTAAGGAACAATACTGCCTTCACCACTAGATGGCTGTGGGGAACAATACTGCCTCTCACCACTAGATGGCTGTATGAACAATCACTCTTCTCACTAGATGGCAGTAAGGAACAACGCCGCCTCTCACCATTGATGGCTGTAAGGAACAATACTGCTTCTCACCACTAGATGGCGTAGAACAACGCCGCCTCTCACCACTAGATGGCAGTAAGGAACAACGCCGCCGCTCATATTTGCACATATATTTCATTATGGCATTTAAGGGCCCAATATATTACTTAGGAGACACTGCGTCTATAATATTAATCCGCCCCCAGAAGGCTAATTATAATTCAAGTCTAATTAGATTACAAAGGAAATCATTAAACAGAAGGATTTACATCTGAATCTACATAATCCTTCCTCGTTATCTCAAATTGTGTTTTATATAATCATTATATGACCAGTGAGGAGGAAGCCGTGACTCATACAGCCACTACTGTGTGTTTAAATAACGTTAAGAAATGCTTCCCTACCGTAGATTACTTTAGGTATATATCACCTGTAAAAGTCTTTATGCGCAAAAAATAAGAGATACAATATCCATTTACAAGATTTGTGAGCTAAACGTACACGTATACTCATACTTTAGGCTCTGCTCCGATAAAATATTCACTTCTTCAGGAACCTGCAAAAATCTATAGATGCAAAATGTATATCGTTTTTACATATATATGCCACCAAATATTAGGGTTATATGAAAGTGATTCAATCGCGTTGGTCAGTGAACACCAAATTGAAAAATGCCTCTCGCTCACCAGGCTGTCACTTCTTTTGTCGCTCTTGCAGTGGTGAGTTATATAAGGGAAACCTTACCGGTAAAAATATACATGCACTGCTAACTAGGCAGTCAATCTCTTCCCTTGGTACTGTGTTACTGGATAATAAGGTAGAAGAAAGACGTCTTTAACCAACGAGACGCATGCTTTGTCTAGTACAATTGTTGATAGCGTCGGAGACATTCCTAGGGTAGAATTTTTTTTTACTTTTCACACAATAGTGATACTTGTGGGCAAAATAAAAGAGCGCTCTTGAACCCTCTGACAGTGTTCTATAATTCGTTGTTGTGTTGGAGGTTCATAACATCGGCGTCCATCATGGGTAAAAAATGCATCCTTCTTAGTGACCGTCCTGGGTAAAAGAAAAAGACACCCAGGAGCCAGTTGTTTCATTTGTTGTTCTGTTAGCGGTTGATAGCGTCGGAGGCCATCCTAGGTAAAAAATAAATAAAAATAATAACCCACCTCCTTCTGGCCCAGTTCGCCATTCACTCACGGTTCGACGCGGAGATGAAATTCGCGAGGATGTAAAAATAGAAGCGGCGGCAATAAATTCACAGTTTTATGAAGGTATTAAATCTCCGGCCTCTGGATCCTTTTAAACGTTGGCTTAGAATCATTCCTCTGCCAGTTGACTCTCGCGCCATTTTTTAGTTACTATGGTGATATTTTTTGGGGGTTCATGTTTGTTTTCTTCTTATTTTTAATGCTCGGTTCAGTTTGTGGGGCTTGTGTTTTTATGTTTGTTTTTTTGTGTTTGTTGTTTTTATGTGTGAGTCTATTTATATGTCCGATTTTTAGAACTCAGTATATAGAGAAGGAGGGAGGAAGATTGATGGAGGTGGGAGGGAGGGGAGGAAGAGAGAGGGAGAGGGAGTGGTGGAGGGAGGGGAGGAAGGATAGGGAGGAAGAGGGAGGAGGGAGGAAGAGTGGGGAGGGGGAGGGAGGAAGGATTGATGGAGGGAGAGTGGGGAGTGGTGGGAGGGAGGAAGAGAGAGGGAGAGGGGAGTGGTGGAGGGGGAGGAAGAGAGGGGAGTGGTGGAGGGAGGGAGGAAGGATTGATGGAGGAAGAGGGGAGTGGTGGAGGGAGGGAAGAGAGGGGAGAGGGGAGGTGGGAGGGGAGGGAGGAAGGATTGATGGAGGGAGGGGAGTGGTGGAGGGAGAAGAGAGAGGGGAGAGGGAGTGGTGGAGGGAGGAGGAAGGATTGATGGAGGGAGAGGGAGTGGTGGAGGGAGGAAGAGAGGGAGAGGGAGTGGTGGGAGAGGGAGAGGAGGTGGGAGGGAGGAGGAAGAGAGAGGGAGAGGGAGGGTGGAGGGAGGAGGAAGGATTGATGGAGGAAGAGGGAGGAAGAGGGAAGGAGGAAGTATGGTTAAGTGAAAGGAGGACAAAGAAAAGAAAGAAGAGGATAGAGAGAAAAAGATAAAGAGACACAGAGAGAGAGAGAGAGAGGGGGGGAGACAGTATATCAATTAACCACAGGTGTTGGTTGAGGCAGAATTAATGGAACAAGACCAACCACATAACAACAAACACCTCAGTTAATGTCCTTTAAAATAACAGACACACACACACCTATCTCACTCGTGGTCGGCTCTTTTATCTTTCTCTCATTTGTTATTTTTTCCTCGTCTTTCTCTTCCATTTCTTCTTTTCTCTCTCCCATTTATTATTTTTTTCCTCGACTTTCTCTTCCATTTCCTCATTTTCTCTCTCATTATTATTTTCTTCGTTTTTCTCTTCCATTTTCTTCTTTTCTCATTTATTTTTTTCCTCGTCTTTCTCTTCCATTTCTTCTTTTTCTCGCTCCCATTTATTATTTTCGAGTAATTGTCAACCATTAATTGTTGTTTTCGTTTGATAAATTATTATTTAATTCAGAGAGATAGATTATGTGGGCGAGCGAGTGCATATTATTACACACACACACACACACACACACACACACACACACACACACACACACACACTACCCAGCTTTTTCACCAACACCACTATCACCACCACCGCTACTACCACTACCACCACCCAATACCAACACCACTACCAACACCACTCCACCACTACCCACTACCACAACCCAGTACCAACACCACTCTCACCACCACTACCACCACTACCACTACCACCACAGTACCACACCACTACCAAACCACTATCACCACCACTACCACCACTACTACCACTACCACAACCCAGTACCAACACCACTACCAACACCACTCTCACCACCACTACCACCACTACTACCACTACCACAACAGTACCAACACCACTACCACACCACTCTCACCACCCTACCACCCTACTACCACTACCTGACAGTACCAACACCACTACCAACACCACTACCAACACCACTATCACCACCACTACCAACACCAATACCAACACCACTACCACCACTACTACCACTACCACCACCAGTACCAACACCACTATCAACACCACTATCACCACCACTACCACAAGCCCCTGACTCTCACCTTCCCTACCTGTGATGAATGTTGACCAAGGTGAGTCAATTGACATCAACAACTTTCTACCACAGGGGTTTAAAAATGATGTAATTTCCTCTCACTTTTTTCCCTCTCCTCTTCCCAAAAGCTAAAACATTCATGGGCGCTCAGCAACCCATTGAACGTAACTAGTGACTTTTTTTTTTACTTTTTTTTTTTTTTTACTTTTTGTCAGTCTTGAGTTGCGAGGGAAATTGAGTTGACGTGTTGAATTATTACTCCTGAGCTAAATGTTAAACACTTTTGGCGAATTATTACTCCTGAGCTAAATGTTAAACACTTTTGGCGAATTATTACTCCTGAGCTAAATGTTAAACACTTTTGGCGAATTATTACTCCTGAGCTAAATGTTAAACACTTTTGGCGAATTATTACTCCTGAGCTAAATGTTAAACACTTTTGGCGAATGTTATCATCAGCGAATATGTTTTGAGCCGACTTGCTACCTATACCACTTAAGAGCCTCTGAGCCTCATAAGTCTCTACAGTTTTTAACCAGAGATGCAAGAGACTTTTTCATCACCGTCCACTTGAAACAAGAGACTCCTCCAGCGTGTAACAGTAGACTCTCTCCCTCTTCATCTCCGCCTCATCTTAGCCTTAAAAACCTGTCAGCCAGTCAGTTCTTGTGTAAGCCTCTTCCTGCTCCACTTCCTCCTCCTCTTTATTCTTTCTCCTGCTTCTCATTCTCTTCGTTCTCTTCTTCCTCCTCACACCCCCTCTTCCTGCTCCTCCTCCTCCTCCTCTTCCTCCTCCACCAGCCTTGACACACATCCGACCGAGCTGTGACCGATCAAAGTCATTCTCTTCCCCGTGACATTAACTTGGTCCTCCTTCCTCCTCTTAACTTTCCCTTGTTCTCTCTTCCAACAGTCACTCATTTCTTGGCCATCCTACGTCCCCCTCTCATGGGAACTTCCTTCTCTTCCTCCTCTTCCTACTCCTCCTCTTCTTCCTTACCCCCTCCCCTTCTCCTCCTTCAATAGAGCACTACCTCCTTCTCCCCCCTCTATACCCTCCCGTTCTCTTCCTTTCCCTTTGGACACCTCTTCCTTTTTTCTTCCTTTCTTTTCTCCTTCTTCTCCAAAATGTACTGTAAACTCTCTCCTCCTCCTCCTCCTCCTCCTCCTCCCTCTACCCTCCCTCTACCCTCCCTCTTCCTTCACCCTCCCTCTACCCTCCCTCACCCTCCCTCACCCTCCTCTACCCTCCCTCACCCCTCCCCACCCTCCTCCCTCCTCACCTCCCTCACCCTCCCTCTACCTCTCCCTCACCCTCCCTCTACCCTCCCTCACCCTCCCCACCCCCCAAGCACCAACCTGGAGACCGTCGTAGGTCCAGGAGCCAAACTTCATATTGCAGGACTGTTCGTCGAAGGGGAACCACTCGACGTCGATCTCACACGAAGACTTGTAGATGGCTGGCGGCCTCCACACCACCTCCCCCGTGTACTTGAGCGTCGCTTTTGTCATCAGCGTGACCTCGTAGTTTCCGTCCGCGCTGAGGGAAGAGGGAGAAAGGAAAACATTGATTAAACAAAGGAATTAGAAGAGACGTAATAAACAGTCATTTGATAGGATAAAAAGAATATAACCTCCTTGTAAGCCTCCTCCTTCACCTCTACCTCTTCCTCCTCCCTCTCCTCCTCCTCTTCCTCCTCCTCCTCCTCCTCTTCCTCCTCATCTTCCTCCTCTCCTCCTGTGATAAACCATTGGAAAAAAAATACAATTAACCTGAAAGAAAAAGAGTATCAAAAACCAATATTAAACCATGACATTAACATAAACAACAACATCGCCTCATAGTTGTTGTTCTTGTTTTTGTTGTTTTTGTTCTTGTTTTTGTTGTTGTTGTTGTGGTTGTCTGCGCTGAAGAACATAAAAATAAACCCGTTAATAAACCAGGAAAGAAAAAATGGCAGAAAAATTGATTATTAAAGGCGGTATAAAACATGAGTGTCACATAACAGGAGGAGGAGAGGGAAGAGGAGGAGGGGGAGGAGGAAGAGGGCAGAAGGGGGAGAAAAGTGATAAATGAGAGACACGAGAAGGTAAAGAGAGAGACAAGGGTCATCACTGGAGGAGATGATGTCAGGGTCGTGTTAGAGAAGACCAGGAAGAGATTTAGAGACAAGAGACACTGGAGAGAACTTAATAGATAAAGATAACTTTTTTAAGTTTGACCTTTGGGTTTGACCTTTGGGTTTGACCTTTAAGTTTGATCTTTGAGTTTGACCTTTGGGATTGACCTTGGGTTTGACCTTTGGGTTTGACTTTTGAGATTGACCTTTGAGTTTGACCTTTGGGTTTGACCTTTGAGTTTGACCCTTGGGTTTGACATTTGAGATTGACCTTGGGTTTGACCTTTGGGTTTGACCTCTGGGTTTGACCTTTGAGTTTGACCTTTGAGTTTGACTCGTGGGCTTGACCTTTGAGATTTACCTTGGGTTTGACCTTTGGGTTTGACCTTTAAGTTTGACCCTTGGGTTTGACCTTTGAGACTGACCTTGGGTTTTACCTTTGGGTTTGACCTCTGGGTTTGACCTTTGAGTTTGACCCTTGGGTTTCACCTTTGAGATTGACCTTGGGTTTGACCTTTGAGTTTGATCCTTAGACTTGACCTTCGAAATTGACCTTGGGTTTGACCTCTGGGTTTGACCTTTAAATTTGACCTTTGTGTTTGACCTTGTTCTTTGAACTTGCCCTTTGACCTGCCCTTTGACCTTGTCCTTTGACCTTGACCTTGAATTTGACCTTTGACACTTAACCCCCCTCCACACACAGCTCCCATTGGCCGAAGTGGAAGAAGAATTCAGAAAATAAATTACTTGATGTTTATTCTCATTTTTCTAGCGATTCTCAGATGTTTACAGATGTTTTCTTCTCTCTCGTCAGTTCTCTACATCACCGCCATAACATCAGTGACAGGTATGAGTGGTCGGTGTCACTCTCAAGGTTCATATGTGACTGGAATGTGTGTCATATTTGTCCTCATAAAAGTCACTTATTTCCTAAATGTCTCAAACTCATGTCACTTTCCTCCATAAGTGACAGCGGGAACTCATGTCATTTTTCCTTCATAGATGAGAGAAATTAATTTTATTTTCCTTCATAAATGACAAAAATTAATGTTATTTTTCCTTCATAGACGACAGAAATTTACATGACTCCCCCGAGCTTCACCCTCGACCCACCATAACAGTGACTCACGCCTCGACTATAACAGTGACTCAGGCCTCGACCCACCATAAACAGTGACTCACGCCTGACGCACGCCTCGACCCATAACAGTGATTCACGCCTCGACCCACCATAACAGTGATCACGCCTCGACCCACCATAACAGTGACTCACGCCTTCACTCCCCTAACAGTGACGCACGCCTCGACCCACCATAACAGTGACTCACGCCTCGACCCACCATAACAGTGACTCACGCCTCGACCCACCATAACAGTGACTCACGCCTCGACCCACCATAACAGTGACTCACGCCTCGACCCACCATAACAGTGACTCACGCCTCGACCCACCATAACAGTGACTCACGCCTCGACCCACCATAACAGTGACTCACGCCGCGATGTGAATCCAAGGTCCCCTCTCATGGTGTAATTGATTATCGGTTACCTCAGTAAAGCCCCCGTGGCCACTCAAGGGGCACTTAGGGCGAGGATGGCGCTTGAGGGCCACTGTTGCTCTGCCACTTGACGTCTCACTTAGAGGAGGAGCTGGTGGAGGAGGAGGAGGAGGAGGAGGAGGGGAGGTCACCTTGGAGAGTACCTGGAGGATGAGGTATCTGAGAGGGGGAAGAGGAGAAGAACGAGGAGGAGAAGAAGGACAAGGAGGACGAGGAGGAGGAGGACGAGAAGGAGAACGAGAAGGAGGAGGAGGAGAAGGAGGAGGAGGAGAAGGAGGAGAAGAGTCACCATAAAGAACAACCAGACCCTGAAATAACTATACTTGTCAGCTCTATAGAAGAAACTTAATCCAGGTTGCTGAGCGGTCATTAAGTTGTTACTACCGAGGAGAAAAAATATTGGAAGGTTAATAACGAAGGAAATGTTGAATGAAAGGAATTAAAATATCGATTAAAATTGACAACGAAACAGAAATGGTGGAAACAGAAGCAGTACAAAATCACAAGAACGAAGAATAAGAAGATAAAAAGATAATTACGATCAAAACAAAACAAAATTGAGATTACGAAATATGAAATGAAATCAAAGAGAAATTCTTAAGACTGTCCAAAAATAATTAAGAATGAAATAGCAAAGAAATGAAAGAAATACAAAGAAGGAATGAAGAAAGGTGTAGCCCTAATTGACGTGAGGCGTAATTTATATTCGGATTATTCGTCGCCTCTTTGTGTTCTCTTTGGGGCAGGACAAATTTTTTTAATCTAATCGTCAGCTTTTTCGTTTTATATGTGTGAGTGTGGGTAGGTGTGGGTAGTTGGGTGGGTATTTGTATGTGGGTAGATAAATAGGTATCTGGATATGGGTAGGAATACTATTGGTGTGGGTAGGTGGATATGGGTGTGGGTAGATGGGTAAGGTTATAGGTGTGAGTAGGTGGGTCGGATGGCTGTCAAACTTCACTCCATTCCCTTCACGAGAGAATTCCCTGCAGGTGTAAATAGTAATATGTGACGTGTATAGGAACAGACACACACACACACACACACACACACACACACACACCTCCATCACCACCCCTACACCACCTCCTCGCACGCCCATCCCCCCTCCACACGCCCACCCCCCCTCCACAAGCCCACACGCCTACCTGCTGAAAACAAGAGACCTGATAGCTAGGAAAATTCCCCTCAGAGGCTGTAAACTGGACCAATAGAGTGTTGGATCCTTTGTTTGTCCAGAGCCAAGGGTGAAACACTCTCAAAAGGCTGAGCGGCTTGAAAGGGTCGCCCAATAGTCCATGAAGTGACAGGGAGACAGGGAGAGAGAGAGAGTATGACAGGGAGACAGGGAGAGAGAGAGAGAGAGTATGGCAGGGAGCGATTATAACAGGGAGAGAGAGTGTGTGACAGGGAGACAGGGAGAGAGTATGGCAGGGAGACAGGGAGAGAGTATGGCAAGGAGACGTGGAGAGAGTATGAAAGGGAGACAGAGAGAGAGAGACAGGGAGACATTGAGAGATTGACAGGGGGACAGGAACAGGGATAAAGATAGAGAGGGAAGAGCATTAGAGAGAATATGGAAGAAAGAAGGGTAGGCAGAGAGAGAGAGAGAGAGAGAGAGTTATATTAAACCATAAGACCAAAGAGAAAGCTAGAAAGTTCAGCTGGGAGATAATAAGGTCAGAATCTTTTAATGGATTTCTTTTCACTATAAAAAACTTTCCAATTTTAACTTGTGCTCTCTAAGTGGCGGAGTAGACCCAGTGATCCCTAGCCTTGACTATCTCGTGTGATAAGTGGTTGCTCGTGGGGTCGTGTAATCTACCTTAATATTATATAACCGGTATACTTATATGCGCTCTAGAGAGAACCTTAAATGATGTTAAGTAAAATTATATTCAAATTATCACTCTTGAATGTCTCCTCTGTATCTCAACGTGACCTTAACAACAACATAATTAAAAGTTGCGACCCCTGTGTACCAGCCCAGCCGTCAAGATATAAAATTACATCAAAGAACATGAAATATAAACATGGCCGGGGGTCTCTAGCTCAGTACATCTCACAGAAAATATATTTTTTATCTTCTCTTCCATTTCCGCTTTAATTTCCCGCGCTCTACGGATACGATAACAAATAAACGGCATGAAGAAACGCCATCGCAGAGGCTAGAGTCCGTCGAAGGTCTGACGGAAGGAGGAGGACGAGGTTCAGAGTGTCGTAAACCTGTTTTTATAGGGTCGGAGCGCCCTCTTTTTATGGATTGTTAAGAGTGTTGGATCTTGTTTGGTTGGAGGGAAAACAATGGAGATCGTTGTCTTTTGAGTCGTCTCTATTCATGGGATGATACTGGTGTTGAATACTGTATTAAGGCGACGAGAATCCATGTTATTTGAGATGTTTATATTCGAGGAGGAGGCAAATATTGATACACGAGAATTTAAAGGTGTCGGATCCTGATTTGTACAACGCGAAAACAAATGACACTATTGTCTTGCGTGCTGCGTATCTTTTAGGGGACATTTATAGGTATCGGATCCTTCTTGGAGGATGAGAAAACAACGGCCCTTTGAGATGTTTATATTTCGGTGTCCGTCTTTGCTTATAGCGGTGTTAGATCCTACTTAAACGACGAGAAGACAGTCGAGATATTTATATTCGGATCCACCTGTATAAATATGGAATGCTAAGAGTGTTGAATCCTACTTGAAACACGAGAAACCATTAAAGATGTTTGTATTCGGCTTTACTGTATTTATGGGATGTTAAGAGTGTTGGAACCTATTTGAACGATGGGAAAACAATAGCCCTTTGAGAAGTCTCTTTTTCGTGGGGCTGACTATTCTCGTTTCGTCTATGAC